GTGCCCAAAATGTGGTTCAGACTGTGCTGGTGCTGCTTTTTAAGGTGCAGTACCTGAAACACCTGGTGATGGTGTCAGTGGTGATTGTGCACAGGTTTGTACATGGGTGAATAGATGTTCCTGGGTGTGAGCTGTTCAATGACACACATAGACTGCAGAGAGACTAACGAAAGCAAAGCAGGTGAGTTACATGCCAAGAAATTAGGAAGGAAACAACTGTGGCCATTAGTGTCCATTCCCAGATGACAGCAACAGAAATATGCCTTTAGAAGCCAGTGCAAATCCTAAAAAGGGGTTGGGGAAAATCCTAACTTATGATTAGTGAATATACTGTTCTAAACCCTATTCTAGAGATGTGTTATACAAAGAGTGCCGACAGAAAGGGAGCTTTTCTGAATGTTTTCATTATTGGAATATGACTTTTAGACTCATAATGAAGTCACGTGAGAAAATATTTTATTAGGCAGCTTTGTTAGTGTGAGATGTCATATCCCAAGGAGTGCATGAGGAGGGAGGAACGGCAAGTGCTGCTGTAAAAACTTAGGCAGATTATTTGCATTTTATTAAAAAATAAATTTTGGAGACTTCGGGCAGTAATCTGGATTGGGCTACCTACCATACTGTACGCACGCACAAAATTATTAAGATTTTTCTGAGATGGTGTGTCTTACAATAAGACACAGTAAATGAAAGCCAGGGGTAGTATAAGAAATCATGTTTAAGTTACATGAGAAGAAGTCATGTATTGGGTTAGCTATAAGTTTCCTATGATGGGAAAAAACTCAAAAACGTTGCTTTTGTTTGAGTTTTAGGGGGAGTGTTTATGATTATAAGAAGAGAGTGCTACTGCAAAGAGCCAGACACAAGAAGACATAAACACTCATATGTGAGGGATAAAGTGGGTAAACGCCTCATCACTTGCCTTGCAGGATGTAAATACACATACACATTGAGATAATCATACTTATTTCCCCCTAAATAAAATAAAACACTAAAAGCTTAAACACCTATGAGACTTCTCCCAAGCCCAAACAGTAATGTGTAATTCGTCTGATACCTCTACACATGTGCAAGTAGCAGGTATTTTTGTGCAGTCATGTGAAAACTCTCTGCAAACAGGTTCTTAACAGGCCAGAGAACATTTTTCTTTTATCCCAGTGTCAGTTATTGAGATGATTTATTTTTATTATTTCATGCTTTAGTGAGAACAATCTAGTGTTACTGTATAAATACAGAGACAACAGATTAAAACCTCAGTTCCTGGTCATTCAAGACATAGATTTAGACAACAAGTAATTTTTACCAGTTATGCTGAGTTTATAATACAGTCATATTATACTTTCCTATTACATGATTCTTGTTTACATAACAACATCACTATGCAGACATGTCTCTTAAATCATAAGCCTCTTAGTAGTGGTCTAGTTTCTTGACATAGTAGTTGATAAAATAAGGACACAAACTCTGACTGGTATCTGTGATTTTCAGGAATGCAAGAGTATTTATCACTAACATATTAATAATGTTGTAAAGCTGACAGATATGAGACTTTTCCAAGTCCATAAGAGTATGGAAAATAAAGGTACAGATGAAGTGAAAACAGAGTTGTGGCATCCTTTATCCTTTATTACACTTTAGGGGAATCTATAAAATGACAGTAGGAAGCAGCTAGTGCTTCATTCAGTCCCCCCCAAAATTCTAGTGCAGCAGTAAAATGGCGTATGCCAGTAATAAAAATAAAATGTCTATGACATTTTAAATGTTATCGTACTGTCACAGTAGAATAAAATTAGCTTGAAGAATGATCTGAAGGGATATGATGCAGTTCATTATGTATAACAGCAATAGCAGCAGTTTCCCAGGGTTCATAAAGGTTTCTCCATTAAATTTACCTCCAGTCAATAATTAGGAGTCCACAAATAAACCTAGGCAATTAAATCAATACTGCTGGGCAATTATGTTTCAAAGTCCTGGCTCAATGGCACAAAAAGACACTATATCAAACTGCAATATTAAGTGATCTGATGCAATTTTCCACTGAACGTTTACTCAGAAAATCAGAAAAGGGCAATCCTGCATCTTTGTTCAGGATGCAAATGGGTAGCACAGTTTGCCAACATGTAACACTTAGCAGGCTGTCTCTTACGAGCAAAACCCTGCAGAAAGCTTACATTTCAACATGGGCTTTAGTTTGCTGATCAGAAATATTACCAAAGCTTACTAAAAGAAACCACAACCAACTCTGCAAGATATGACTAAACCATTTTAAAAGGCACAGAGCTGTTCCATGAGCTGCTCTCAAATACAGATGAATAAATCTTAACTGTTTCCATCTATATGCCTTAGCATGGACAGAAATGAAAAGAAGAGCTGGCTGCTCCCCAAAACCACTATAATCCTCTTGCAATTCTAAAAATGGTCTGCTTGCCAAAAATTACCTCTACCCTCAGTGTTTCTTCTGAGGAACCCCACAAGATGGAGCAAAAATCACAGAAAATCACTATTAACTTGTACACAAACATTCATGGCTAAGAACAATGAGATCTTCTATCCTTATATAACATTTGCAATCTTAATATACCTGGTTTGATTCAACAATTCCTTCAATCTCCATCCCCTGGTTTTTGCTGTCTGTCTATAGTAGATGAAGAAAAGTGATATAATTCTGCTGAATAATTTTTTAGCTATTTACCAAATAACAATGAAAAACAGAACAAGAAGTCTTCATTGTATTCTATGGATCTGGTTAATTATTTGGAGCACATAATATGAACAGAATCTTGAAATTTATATATTTTTTAAAAATAGATAAAATTAAGGCAATTAAGTAAATATAAATAATTGTGCTTTTAATGTTGAGTTTCATGTAGCATTATGAAGTTTGATTAAAATGCCAGTCTTTTTGACAAAGCCAGTAAAAGCCCACCGATATTTCTATTTCCTCTGCTGCAGCAATTAAGCAGTCTTCAAGTTTTGATAATGAAAGAGGGAAAACCTATCATTTCTTAGGAATCTGGTCACAGGATACAATCTCAACACAAAAGTTATTGATGGTTAAATACATAAATTCAATGTGTCTGTTTCTTTAAAAGGGCTTTCAAAATATTTTCAATCATTCATATTCTTAACTACTACATCACTAATGGATCCATACTAGTGAATATGCATTATGCAGTGGATTTACAAATCAAGTTTTATTTCTTTCCAGACATCAGCTGCCCATCATTTAAATAAAAGAGAAAACTAAAAATGTAACAGAAAAGTTTTAAGAGTCAGGATATGTTGTCAGTGATGTCCAAACAAAAGCTGACTATGGGTAGAAAAGCTGGGCTCTCACCTGCCAATAAACTGCCCTTGATCACTTACAAGAGGGGAGCATCCCAGCAGACTCTGTGTGTATTAAAAAAAAAGACTTGAAAGAGAAGAAAAAGTATCACACAGGTCACAGCAGCAGTCTCAATGGACCCCTCAGGGATTTCTGCTAGTCTCAGACTTGTCATCCTCTATGCAGCTTTCCTCTCTGCCCAGAAAATGTCGATAGGAAAATGTTTGAGGGGCCTCTGGTGGAAATTTTTTCATTCTTTCTGCATTGACAGGATGCCAAATCAATATTTACTTCCCACTAACAAGCTGCTCGAGGTCTCAGTAGAAAATATTGTAGGGAATGCGAGAAGACACGATAATAAACAGCTGTCTGGCTATGAGGAAAACATGAATTGACTGGAAACAGGTCCACAGTAAAAGGTCACAGAAACCCATGAACTCCTCAGGTGTCCATAACAACTAGTAACTTTAAAGGCACATAAAAAAAGTCTCTTTTTCCTAAGAGGTATGAGAGAACAGATAATTTTTACTCTAGAAAGCATTATACAGTGTTTCAATAATTCAATTAACACATTTGCCAAGATCTGTGCTGGTTTTCTCTAGCATTGTTTTACTGGTTATGTTAGCTTAAGTTAGCTGTTAAGTTAGCTATCACAATCCTTGATTAACTTCTCTTCAGTTTTACACAGTAACTCTGATTTTAAGAGAAATACAAAGGAAATGCCACAAAACAAGGACTTCACATTGCTCATCACAGTATAGTTTGAGACTATCAATGGCACCATAATTACAAGTACAATGTATTAATTAAAAACTAAAAACACATAGCTAATCAAAGCAGAAAGTTATAATTCATTGTGGGATTCTATTAATTGAGCCCCTGTGCTTCAAGAAGTTTCTGTATATGCTGTAGTCATTCTTTAGTTTTTCCAAATTCCATTTTTGTTTCTGCTGTTTCCTAAAATGAAAAACATCAGGAACAAAAAAGGAAATGTGTAACTGGGTATATGTAAAATACAGAGCATGTGGAAGTTGGAATCACATTTGCAAAATTAGTTTTCTGAAGCATAATCATCAAGAATCAGTGCTCTATTAAAATCTATTAAACCTACCCTTGTCTGTTCATGCCTCTAGAAATAGCATAGCATGTCTTTTCATATGAATATACAGGCGTATGTGTAATCTATGTCTAAATTTTATAAGTTTAATAAATGTTTCTGAGTCTACACCCTGATAGAATATATAGTGTATGTGTAGTGTAAATTCATCTCCCACCTAATAAATTTGTTTTATATTTATAGTTAAGTATGTTTACGTGTTTTACACATATATTCACAGTGACTAAAACAAAAAGATACAGGATGTAGAAATTACTTTGTGAATGAGATAAGCTTGGAACAATTCTGTCAAAGTGAATTGCTTTATAGGATTGTATAAATGTAAGTAAACAGGGCAGGGATCAGCCCATTTTATTTGTATTCATGAGTGTAATCTCTATCAGTGCATACACATACCATGCACTGTTGTTTCACCAACAGGACACCATCTTTTTTGTGGCCACTTTATATAAACCTAAGTCATCACCACAGTGCTGCTACAGGCCAATAATGGCCAGCTCCTAGACACTTGCTAAAGTAACTGTACAGGCTTTTTCATGTATTATTTGATCAGGACTTAATAAATCTGGATAAGAAACCCACCACTGCATCTATTTAATAGAGTGATTTGATGAAACACTATCAAATATTTCATAGTAAAATGTATGATAGAATCAACAAAAAAGGCAATGAATTCACACAGAAACCATCTGTCTACCAGAAATACCTTTAATAGGTATCACAATTCATAGAGGAAGTATAACAAAATCAATCTGGCACAGCAAGACACACTCTAATTTTGTTTTCTTTAATGCAGAAGTCTATTTAAAACATACAATCCTGCCAAATAGCCTCACAATAAAGAAAAATACGGAATAATATCTCTACATACACATGCTCAAAGCAGTATCTGTATATTTATGCATGCTGTAAGTCTTGCCACCTTATGAATCTCTAGCCTGACCTTTTCATTCAGATTAAATCCTTCTTGATTTCTGTGCTGTATCTTGCACAATGAAATTCCAGTTGTTACCTGCAAATTCTTTTCTTCAAGGAGGATATAGTCAGCATCTTCTCATTTTTGCTTTTTTTACTGAAGTCCTTATAATAACTTACCTGATCATCTCCTTCTTGTAGTATTTTGTAAAGATCAGTGGTTGAAACATTAAGGATAGACGTTGCTAACTGAAGACTTTTGTGAAAGACTGTTTTTGCGTGCTTTCATTTCTCCATTTTTTTTTTGCCAGTTTGATTTTTGTTCTTAGCTCTTGTACACTGTGATGTAACTCTCCAGTTAGAGTCTAGAAGACATAAGCAAAAAATACTCTACTGTCTTTTTTTTTAATAGTGCAAACAAGATGGAAAAAACAGTATCATTTAGATTAAGCTCCTTTAGATGGGAATTATCTTCACTCTGTATTATTGGTTCAACAGGATATGTGCTGGAATAATAAATAGCATGCTACTTAGAACACAAAACATGAATTAATACAATAAACAAAAATGTTTTTAAATGTACATACTGTTTTGGAATGTCTTCAGAAAAGTAACTATTCTTATAATGCCATCATTAGTAAGACAAAGCAGCTTCCACACAATCAAAATCTTTTCCTGACCCAGTCTAACAAAAATGTTCTTGAAATAAGAACGTGTCAGGCTTCATTGTGGTCAAATAGAATGCTTTTTTTTTTTTTTTTTTTTTTTTTTTTTTTTTTTTTTTTTTTTTTTTTTTTTTTTAAGCTTATTGACATTCTCTGCATGCAGAAACACCAATATACCTCTTTATTCAAAACTTGAAAATTTGTTTCCCACCAGGAGAGGCTTACTTAAAACTGTCCTGGCTACCAAGCTCCTATCTTACCTATTTCTTAAGTTCTTGGGTTCAGTGAAATAACACTCAACATCTCAACATCAGTGTAATTCATCAGTTTTATAACTGAAGTAAGTTTGGTTTAATATTTATATAACTATGACAAAAAGATTTCATCAAAATCTGAGCAAGACAATTTCATTTAAAAATTGTTGATTAACAAACAAGAGTACTAATCAATTTTCAGAAGATTCTCCTAGAATATTCAACTTCCATGACCCAAGTAGTACCATAATTGTCAGCACAAACAATTTGGCTCAGTTGAAAATGAGCAAAGAAGGTTTTCTTTTGATCATCCTAGTGAAGCTCGTCTTATTAAGATACATCTCAACAGTAGGTGATCATCTCCTCTTTTTCTACAGAATACCTTCATTTCATAGAAACTGACTACAGGATTATGAAGCCTGTTTATTTGCATTTTGGGTAAAGTATTCTACAGTCTCTAGTGTATCTGAAAGAGTCATTAGAGAGCACTTCCTAATACATTTCAACAAAGCAGACTCATCCAATTCCAAGATTTTTTTTCCTACCACTTCCCAACTTAACATTTTTCTGTATTTAATAAAATTTAATCATTAAAAATAAAAGCACCCTACGAATCTGGGGAGAGGAGGTACAGTGAAATTTGTCCAATTTTCTGATGCAAGTGTGGGTCCCTTCATCCACAGAATTTCCAACAAACTATTTTGGACATAAACCTATCTGCAAGTGCAGAGCTGAGAAGAACTAAGAAACTTGAAATGTAATGGGCAGGGACTTATGGCAACATGAACTAAGCTTATAGAAGGAAATAGACTAAGAGAAGAGGGAGCCTCAAAAAGAAATGCACACACTATGAAAAAAGATATAGTTAAATCACATGTTTTTGTAGCATTTGAAATGGTCTAACAGTAAATTGGCTCTTGAAACATATAGATGTATTTGACAATGGAAAAATAAGTTCAACCCTACTTTTTCAATCCAATTGAATCAGCTTCCCATGTTTTAAAAAGAGATCTTGCTAAGGCATAAGGGATCACTCCAGAAGATGCACATGTGTAACCTGAGGCAAAGAGGAAATGTAAATTAAAGGAACAAAATAGCAAGAAAATCACCTGCAAAGCCACTTGGAAAGACTACAAAAAATGACAAAAAACCAAAAATAGACAAAAAAGCACATGATAATAAGCAATGTTAAACATTTCTTCGATTGCCTTAGAAAACACAGAAAAATTGCCAGGCAATAGTAATTTTACATTATTACATAAATGTTATTGGTGTATCCAGATTCCAAAAGAAGTTCATGATGAATGAACAAGCTGATAGCAGTAGTGGAACTCAGAAACTGCAGCTTCAGTGTGATTGTCTTTTAGTCCACGGTTCCAGAAAATAAGGTGCTAGAAAGAAAGTTATCAGAAAGACACTGAAGAATCTGTAGCATCAATTTGAAAAAAGGAATAAAAAAATGAGAAAAAAAAAATAATTAAAAAGCAAGTTTAAACAAAAATCACAGAAAGAGAAAATTACAACTAATAGATTTTAATATGCAAGCATACACTTTATATATAATCACAGCAGATCATTCATATGGAGAATTTGCACTCCAATTTCTCTGTCCCTTGAGCAGTTCAAATACACTAAAGCATATGAAAAGCACAAAGCATATGTGAAAAAAGAGGCTATTTTATGGACATTAATACTAGATAGATTCTGAGAGACTAGCTATTTTTGAACCTCCCTCCTTCATGTTATAGATATAATGTTTTGATATCAATTTTATCACTAAATAAGTGCCTTGAGAATTATAGTCTTCCTGCAATTTTAAGTTGCTTTTTTCTTCTGTTATTTTCTCATCCATCATATGCTAATATATTAATGGGCTAAATTGTTTACTTATTAGTGATTTAATTTATATGTCAGTTCATGCTCCAATACAGAAATGTTCAGTCTCAAGCCACACAGCTTTCAGAAACTGAAAGACCCATTTCCAAATCCAAAAGTACAATGACTCAAGAGTTAAACAACACAGGTTTTGCTGATGAGTGTGCTGAAGGCAGTATAACTTTGTTCTGTGATTAAGAACAATTCTGGAGATTAAGAACAATTCAATTAAATGATTTGAATTGAAGATTCAATTAAGAACAAAAACATTCTGGAGCTAGGTGTAGAATTTTGAACTAAAACATTTCCCTTGGTGTGTTTCAAAACTGTTTAATTTTAAACTAATAAGCATATGTAGGGATGTAAGCTACATGAAATCAGTGCAGTGCATTACTTCTGTGCTACACTGATTTATAACAATGCCTGTATTAGTACCAGTAATACTAGGATTTGAGATTTTATCTTTGGTTATTTTCTTTTGTTGTCAAATGTATATGCTATTTTGTTAGCAAAGCCATTTTCCTAACTTAGATGTTACCATCAGAGTTATTCCTGTGGGACACACTTTGCTGCTACCAGCCAACTAGAATAGGAATTCTTGATTAATTCCTGAAACGAATCTATACTTCTTGTCAGACCAGTGCAACTACCACTGATCTGACAAGAAAAAAAGAAGCTTAAAATTCCAACAAAATTACCTTAAAGTTCCTAGTCTTTTTTAATCATTAGCAATTGTTGAATTACCAACCAACTCCATATAATTTCTATAATATACATTACAGATGTTGGGCTACAAATAATTCTGAGTTATCTCCATGATAAGCCTTTTCACTTTATTTTCACTACCTCAAATATTCATTCTTAAGAATATATTGTTTTCAAATTTGGCCGCAGTATATAACCACTTCTTAGAACTGCATCTTTTGCCAGTTTTGAGACGTAAAAAGACAAAGATTTTCTTTCAATTAGAAGGTCATATTTAATTAAACACTCAAGGAAGTCTTGGTGGCACAAAGACCCTGACAGCACACTATTAATAAAGCCTTCACATCCCAAAACACTGACACTCGTTGATCCTGGAATTAACACAATTTGATCAATGGCCCTAAGTAATGCTGGATGACCAAGGCAAGGCCAAAAATTTTTCCTTTAATTACCATGTTAATTTACATAATATTATTGTTTGTAAAATTGTAAGTTTGTAATAATGGTCCCAAGACAAATTCTGATGCTAGCTAGCACTATACCTACGTACAGCCAGACTTCAGTCTTGCACTGCTGCAGATCTCATGTCAGAGGCCATAGCTCACGAGTCATGGATAATTTAAAGTCTTACTGTATTTTGTACTATAGTAATAACAGTGTGCTGCATCTGGCTGAGATAGCAGAATCATCAAAGTTGGAAGAGACCTTCAGAATCGCCTAGTTTTTAATCACAGTGGTCAAATTAAGGTTCAGTTTAGCTTTGGCTCTTTCTGTCCACATACTTGACAACATCTTTGTACTTCCCCCCAAATTACCTGTTCATCCTTCCAGAGATGCTACACTCTTTTGTTGTCACAAGTTCAAGCCTAAGGTCTCTGTTAAACCAGAACAGTATTTTTCCTGCTGGCTTATCTTACAGCACAAATGGAGATGTAGTTAATTGTCTTCCAACAGCTCCTAAGGTGCAGTGTTTGGGATTCGTAAGTAAACCCATGCTGATAACATACCAGCCATTGCTAGGCAGCACGGGCACAGTGTCAGGGTATTCTGTTTCTCATGCTGCCACCTGGGCATGTGGGCTTGGGATGCACACAATGGGGAGAGGGAACCAGATGGGATAGACAGCTGGCCCCAAGTGACCAAAGGGACATTTTCCACATACACCACTTAACAATAAAATCTAAAGGAGATGGTGATTTGTCTGCTCAGAGCCTGGCTTGGCATTGATCTGCATTCCTTGGGGGACTTAGTCTTCTTTCATTCCTTCATTAAACTGTCCTTACCAACACACAAGTACACAAGTTTTCTCAATTTTGCTTGTCCTATTCTTTTCCCAGTCCTACTGGGGCAAGGAGCAAGTCCCTGTCAAGAAAGAACTATGTGGTGTTTAGCTGCTGGCCAACCACCACAGCTGTTGGCCAACCAACCACAAACACATAGGAGAATATAATACAAGAACAATTTTATATGTAGTATTGTGTGTGTAGTTCAATATGGAGATGTCCTTAGATACAAGTAATGTGTTCTTAGAAACTCACTTGTTTTGTAGATTATAAAAGTATATGGATATAGTTCAAAGTGTTAAACCAAAAATGAAGTGGAAAATCTTTTCTGAAAAAAGGCTAGTTTCCTAAAGAGTCAAAAGCATTATGAAGATGTCTGTAAATAACAAGAGCTAAATTTCACTGAACTGAACACTGAGTTAAAGAACTCTACTTTTGTGGTGGAATATTTATTGCTGGCCTAAAGTTATTCTGCAAAAAGACTGAGAAATATTACAACCTCAAATACCTAATAATCAACAAAACAAAACAGAATGAATAGACAAAATTACACAAAAAGATGATGTCATACACCATTTTAGCA